AAAAAAAAAAAAAAAAAAAAAAAAAAAAAAAAAAAAAGTCAGTTTAAACTTTTTTCCGCCGTAAAGATCCATGTAATCTCAAAACGTCAAACACGTTTTTCTCGAAATAGCAAAAACTGCACGTATGCGCTTTGTCCTCCAAGCCCCTTGTTTTTTCTTTAAATAATAACTAGCTCATGTAATTTCTTGAGGACTGCCTCGATTTTTCCTCTCTGCCCGGAAAAAATTAAATTGCTGATTTAACGATTAAATTGCTAGGAAAAAAAAAAAAGAAAAAAAAAAAAAAAAAAAAAAAAAAAAAAAAAAAAAAAAAAANAAAAAAAAAAAAAAAAGTGACTGAAATATTTCAACGTAGATCTCACAACACAAAAATGCTACTTTAACCACTATTGTAAGCTAATTTAACCACGGGGGCAGTTAAAGTAGCATTTTTGTGTTGTGAAATCTACGTTGAAATATTGCAGTCACTTTTTTTAGCAATTAAACTGTTAAATTAGTAATTTAATTTTTTCCGTGATTTTAGCAGAATGTTCCGTAGAAATTTCAAGCTGTATAGTGGACTTGTTCTCCTAGAAAAAATAAAATAGGAGCAGAGATTTGGAAGTACTTCAATGGAGATACTCACACTCAGTTTCGCACTTTGTCCATCTAATTATTTTTCACTATGACTCACTGGTCTTACGTTCTCTCCTCAGGTGCAAGACGAGTACGCGGTGGTTCTGACCCTGACTGACGGGCGGCTAGGCGAGGGCAATTTCATCACTCAGAGTTTACTGCTTCTGGTCGAAGATGTGAATGATAACGAGCCGATCTTCAAGCCTTATCAGTCGACGATATCCGTGCGGGAGGATGCGCCCCCGGGCGTTCTCACCACCGTCGAAGCCACTGACGCTGACGAAGGCCCTTACGGACAGGTGAGTCTCTCTCAAAACTGTTACCTCGGTAAACAACACTCTTGGAGGTACCCGTATGTTAATAACCAAAGAGACGTGACGATTTTGGAAAAATCGAGTTGTTGCTGTCTCGAAAAACTTCTGCATGTGTACTAGGGGGTGCTAATAGTTATTAAATATCTTCTCTTCATCTATTGATTTAATATATTTAAGTGCTGTTTCATGTACAGCACTTAAACTATATTACTTTATGGATATATTATTCTACCTCTCCTCCTGGTGCCTGAGTGCCTGAGCCTGGAGTTCGCCCTTGAAATTTCATGTGAAATTTCATGTGAAATTTCACGTGAAATTTCAGTGAAATTTCAAAAGGCCTCATAAATTTCAATTTTTTTGAAAAATTGATTTATTTGCCCCTTAATTCCTTTTCTTCACTGATGTTCCTAAATTTAATAATAATACATTGTCTTACTGTTCCTCACGCCTGTTTTTTCTTTCTTTCCGAGTAGCTAGTCTTGTTACTCTCCTATAAATAATATGGCATCGTAAAACAATTGTGTCCCTCAAAAAATAGTCATGATTGTGCTAGTCCTTTCAGTAGGTAAAATTCTTCTCTAAGATTAGAATAAATAGTATGTACCTAAGTACCTTTATTTTCTATTGCTCTAAACTTTATTTGCATTTAAATGATAAATTTCAAGAATTATAGATGAAGAGCCCAGTACTCAGTGCATTGTATGTAACGTTGGAGTACATATCTCTGCTGTTTTTTATTTTTTTGGTTTTTTTTTTTATTTTATTTATTTATTTATTTTTTTTTTTTTTACTGAAAATCATTTTCTTCGCAGTGAGTACATGAAGTTTAGAGCCAAAAGAATTCGAACAACGAAAAGTAAAGGTAGGAATTTTATGATCATTTTGTCTTAGTTGACCGGCAAAAATCTACAGTACCAAAAATCTATGGCACGAATGCGGACGAAACAAACAACGACGGTTGAATCATTTCGATTTTAGCCGCCAATTTGTTGCGTGACGGCAATAGGGCACGAGATACGACTCCCTAAATACTCCCTATGCATATTCGTCTTGTTGTGGCAAGCAGTCGGGCAGGAAAATTACTGGAATCAAAAAATTACTGAAAATCAAGCTTAGATTTTAATTTTTCACGGTTTCATTGAAATTTCATGAAATTTCAAGTGAAATTTCAAGTGAAATTTCAAATACCTTATTTTTCATGAAATTTTCCATCTCAGCGGTCACCCATAGTAGTGGTCTTGAACCCAAAAAAATGAGACAAAAATGTACCCAAAGTGTAAATCATACGCCTGAAGAGCAAAGCGCCTAGGAGATTAAGTCGCGAGGCGATCTTAGTGATCTTGAGGCATAAAAAAAATGCGACAAAAATGTATCCAAAGACGGTTTGCAGGGGGTGAGTCTATGGTGCGTGTGAACTTGAAATCGCGAAAAATCAAAATCTTGGCTGATCCTATTTTCGACAAATCGCAATTTGAAATTTTCATGGTAAATGCAAATTTTCTACTGATTTTGATCCGGTTTTTTTATTTATTTGTCCATTGAATCGGTGTCGATTGGTTCATGTTTTTATTTTTCGCTCGATTCATGTCGATCGAATACTTACTCTCTAGTTGCATGCAGACTTCCTATTTCCTCCTATTTCCTTCCTCTTTTTTTAAACTGAACGATTCGCCTTCTGCTGCGTCTGCAGCAATTGTTGTTACGAATATGTTGTGCGCACTGATTTTGACTCATTACATACTCGACGGTCCGAAGGCGTTTTGAGTGAGCAAGTAGCGCTATCTGTCGGAGAACAAAAGAAGTAAGATTGAGCGATTCATTCAATCTCAGTTCTGTTGTTCTCCAACAGAATTCTCTGATTGCGCACACAAAACGCCTTCGGACCGTCGAGTATGTAATGAGTTAAAATCAGTACGCACAACATATTCGTAACAACAATTGCTGCAGACGCAGCAGAAGGCGAATCGTTCAGTTTAAAAAAAAGAGGAAGGAAATAGGAGCAACAGGAGGAAATAGGAAGTCTGCATGCAACTAGAGGGTAAGTTTTCGATCGACATGAATCGAGCGAAAAATAAAAACGAAAACCAATCGACACCGACTCAATGGACGAATAAAAATAAAACCGGATCAAAATCTATAGGAAACTTGCATTTACTATGAAAATTTCAAATTGACACTTCTCGAAAACAGGATCAGCCAAGATTTAAAATTTGCACGTTTTCAAGTTCACACGCACCCTAGACTCACCTTCTGCAAACCGTCTTTGGAAACATTTTTGTCGCATTTTTTTTAAAAATTTATTTTTGCCTCAAGACCACTATGACATTGGCGGATCCAGCAAATTGGCAACATTGCCTTTTCTCCATTTAAACCTATGGAAATGTATCGATTCTTGGAGGGGCCGGGTGCTCCGACAAGGATCGATTATTTAGCATAGGTTTAAATGGAGCGAATCCGGTGTTGCCAAATTGCTGGATCCGCCTCTACCACTATTACCGCCTCGCGCGACTCAACCCCCCGAGGCGCTTTGCTCTTCAGCCGTATGATTTACACTTTTGAGCTGCAGTCAGGATGGATCAGGATCCTGCTTTCTGCATGCTCTATTGCCACCCAAAACAGCGCTCAGCGTCAAAATTTAATGAAATTCAACATCATGAAATTTCTCTCGAAATATTTCCGGAAATTTCAGAAATTTATGAAAGTTAAGACATTTTTATTGGAGAATCAGATGCCAAAGATCAAGATTTCTTGCAATTAAGTGCGGGTGCCATACCTAGCCCTCGAAAAATATATTTCATAATTTCATTTACCTCTCACAGGCCTGTGAAATTTCAGGAAATATTTCATGAAAAATGCCAATGTTTCATAACTTACTTACGTTTCGTGCCACCCTGATTGCGCTTTTATTAAATGACATTAATTTTTCACAATTCAACACGTTACTCTATTGATTAGTATTTTATAGTAAGATACACCCGAATTTAAGCCGTATTTCCCAAGTCTGACTTGGCCGGGCTCTTATCTAGAGAGTATCTCTTATTCCGATAGCTGCAAAAAATCAGGGAAATGGGCTCAGTAGAAAAAGCGAGCGCAATGGGCGTTTATTTAAACCATCAGAAATGTGAAAGTGGTTGATGAAAATAAAGCGGGGAATCGGAGCGGCGCCCGTCAATTTGAAAAACGCGGGCTAAATTCGAAATGCGCGCGAATGACATTCCCGCCATTTTTTGTCAAACCGGGAATGCATGGAATGAACCGGTTTTAACCAATCAAAATGCCTGGTTCGGAATTTGCCGTAAAATTCCTTTCATTTAAAATAGGGAATAATGGAATGAATTGAGTGGCAATGTAGCAACTTCGGACAAAAATATCAGTATTTTTTTCAGAATTTTAGGAAACCTTGAAGTGATAGTGCAATTCCTAAAGTTATTAATATATTTTGCGTGCCAAGTTCATACTCAAAATCTTAGCAATGAGGTAAATTTCCCATATTTTCAATGTTGTGAGGAACCTAATTTTTTTAGGAATCTTGCTGCAGAATTACTTATCAGTATAGGTTGTGATTCTGAGGTCGCCTCTCTTTAGGGAGCATCTGCCTTTATTTTTGTCTAAAATTGTTTGTTTCAATATGTTTTAGGTTGTTTATCATATTCAAGAATTGGATGGAGAAGATCACTTATTCTCCGTGTCGACAGTCAATGGCAAAGGAGTCATCCGTCTGGTGGGTCAGCTGGACTACGAACGAAAATTTCTCCATCAGCTAAGGGTTCTTGCTGTTGACCGTTCAAATAATGACCGCGTGAGTTCATAATCAGCTTAAAGAAAATTTTGCACATCTTTTATCAATAGAGCCACATTTATATGCTATGCTATCTTTTTTTTAATACACACTCGTTCAAAAGGTATCGGCAATTTTGATCACCGCAGCAGGTGAATTGTTCACCAATGAAGCACCCACTTACCTTGCAGTCATCTTAAAAATCCAATTCTAGAGCATTCATCCATGTAAAGACTGGTACTTAACCAAGTCTCCCACACAATTTAATTTTTTATAATTGATATTTATTCATACAGCTCAATCAAATTGGCGCTGTTGGCAGTAAGGGAAGGAACACGCCCAACCATTTGGACCGCGTTAAACAGAAAGGAACCAAGCCACATCAGCTATCGCCAAATTTAATTGGGCAATTTAATTTTTTACATGGATATGGTTGTGTGGATTTTCATGCAAATTTCAGTGAAAATTCTCCGTGGTGCGAAGCAAATTCCTTAAAATTTTCAAAGAAATCCGAACATCCGTTCTCTTGTAAAAAATTTAATTGCCCAGTTAAACTTGGCAATCGCTGATGTGGCTTGGTTCCTTTCTGTTAAACTCGGTCCATTTGTTGGTCAGATAAAGCCACTGGAATAGTGACAGCTACATACTTCAACTGTTATTTTAGTTCGAGATGTAGAGCAGACTCATTGTATTACCGCAATCACACGGTGAATGTGGGAGCTAAATGTGGCTTGAATGTGAAAGTCATCGGCCTGATGCCTGAATTTTGCGTGTGACGCGCATAATTCAGCAACGATTCTCAGCAACTATCGGACTAATGTTGGATTTGTCTGAGCTATTCGAATAGATTTGACACAAATCTGGATGAAAATAACTCGAATTTCCGAAATTTCAGCCGTTGGGTGATGACTGTTGACTTCCACATTCAGCTGCTAAATTCAGCGTGTGATTGCGGCATATGTTGAGACAAATATCAATCTCTGATTACCTCCAAATCAGCACCACTCAACAGGTTAATAGCAGTTTCTACATCGTCGATAGTTCTACATCAAGCTCTACATGCAGTTAGAACTGGGGAAAGAAAAGAAGAGACAAACGTCACATCCAAAAATTGCAACATTCAACAGATATTTACATGCTAACCGATGGGCTAACTGATAATTGATGCATCCAGACTGATGTGACTTTTGTCTCTTCTATTCTTTCTCCAGTTGTATATGGCACCATTGGGCACCTATGACCTGAACAAGTGAGAGGTGATCTAAACAATACTTGACTTTTGTCTCAACATACGATGAGTCTGCTCTAACTTGTTCCATTCGATTCAATTCTGGTATCTCTCGCAGGAGTCTCCATTTTTTCATACGAATCAACTAAGATCAAGTTTACCATCACTAGTTGCTGGATTTTCTGAAAATCTAGACTAACTGGTAGCCCTGGAGGACGTCTCCAACATACAGTATTTGTACGGCTGAAAGTAAGAACTGTGTATTTCAATATATTAATGGCTGAAAGCATTAGATGTGTAGAACTGCGAAAGAAAGGAATATACGAATGTCACATCCAAAAATTGCACCATTCAACAGATACTCATACAGATACAGTCCTACAGGCCAACTGATGATTGATGCATTCAAACTGATGTGACTTTTGTCTATTCTCTAATTCCTCCCCCAGTTCTACTTCAATTGAATCAGGTTGTGCGGAAACCGCTAATGTCCATTTTTCCAGCCTTGAGTTTTTTTGGGTTGAAAATAATTTTCAGAGTTAAACACAACCATCAAAGGTGTCAATACTTGTTTTAGGGTTATCCTCCTCCCAAAACAAGTATTGGCACCACTTATTTCATGATTCTATCAGCTCTTGAAAAGTAGCATTATCAACATAAAAAAACTGAAAGCTGAACAAATGGACATTAGCGGTTTTCACACGACACGATTCAATTGCTGTAACTATAAATTTCTGTTTATGTTTCATTTTCTTGAAGGAAAACTATTCAAAACTTTTCCTTGCAATTTAGTGTGATTATTTAAGAAAAGTCAATGAAATCCCACTTTTCAATGTAGAATTTTCTTGTGTGGTTCACAGGTCAATACAGGGACTGCAGCAATTCTTGTGAAAGTTCAAGACGTTGAGGATCAGCCACCCGAATTCGTAGTTGTCGTGCCTGTTACCAGAGTCAGTGAAGATGTCAAAATCGGCACCTCTATTTCCCAAGGTTTGTCCAAGTTCCGAACTGGCTGGGCACAATGGTGATGTGTTAGAGTCATAATTTTAATTAAAATCTTTTTTTATTTATTTATTTTCTCAGAAGATACATTACAGAATACAAGAGATCAAGATTCAAAATACAAGAGATCAAAAAAAGACCAAGGAACAAAGCATGAGCGGTAACAAAGAACATCATGCATTATCAACAACACTGAATTTAGAAAAGAAAACAGAATTGTTCTGAAATAATTAGGATTGCTCAGTTAGAGGAGGTCCCGGTATGCGGTGAGGCAATTCTACAGGTGGGTTGGGTGGGTTAATAGCTGAGTCTTTGCGAGTAATTACCGCCCTGATAAAGTTTGAGATGGCAGTCCAATCCTCTGCTGACTCCAGCATCGATTGAAGTCTTGAGAACCACTATGACCCACAATTTTTAGTGATCGAAATCAATTAGAAAAATTGTACATCATTTTTTCCTTTTTTTTTTGAAGTAGAAAACGCAAGTTCAAACCTTAATAAATGTTAGTCATATAGATACAGGGTTTCTTGTTCTGAATCTAGAAAACCTAGAAATTCAGGGAATTTATGACCACCTGGAATAAAGTCAAGGAATTTTGCAAGCAGTTTTCAGCAGAAACTGTGTGTGTACTTAATTGAAAGGAAAAAATCAATGCGGGAGTTTTATTCAAAAGTCAAGGAAAGTCAGGAAATTCAAACATTTGGGGAGTTGGAGGAAAGCAAAAATAGTCAAGCAAAAGGCATGTATGTTTAGTATGACATGACACTATGTATGACCTGTATAATAGCCATGTGCATGGCTCATGTACCATTCAGTATAACGACGGCGGAAGTCTGCAATCACATATCTCGTTTGCGGTGTCTGAAAGTCTCCGCTTCTATGATAATTTTTAAAGGAGAACGAATTGACATCATTCCTTGAAGTTTTTGCAGAATTTTCTTCGCACAGAGAAGAAAAATCATGGCAGTTTAAAGTATAACAGGAAGTCTGCGATGTCACAAACCGAGTTATGTGATTACGGACTTACACCATCGATAAATGAATAAATAAAAAAAATTTCACACAATTCCTGCATTTATCATATCTCTTATCTGTGCAGTGATTATCAAAGATTGGTTTGGAAGAGGAGAATATTTCATTTACCAAGTGTAATTTTAAAATAAAAGTTTCATAAACTTATCAATTTTTGCTGTATGTTGAGAATGCAAGTTATGGCACATAAGTTGTTTGACACCTGCATTTCAGATCTCAAATTAATTTTTTTACCTTAATTTTATATCTGTCCCCAGTGAAAGCTGTTGATGGTGATCGAGGAGTGAACAACCGTATCTCGTATGCGATCACAAGTGGAGGTCAGGGAATATTTGATATCAATTCAATGAGTGGAGCTGTCTTCACAATTCAGAAGCTTGATCGTGAAAGTGCCAATAGTAACAATGGGGCTTATATTCTGGAAATCACTGTAAGTATCCAAGTATAACACACAATATAAAGTGAATTATGGTCCATAAATCAGAAACTTGCTCATATTTGGTTTGTCTATCTAAATCTTATGTATTAGTGTCCTTTAAATTTGTCTTTTGAGATGTATAGTTTTCAGAAAAGATAAATAATATCAGATTAGTTTGCCGATAGTTAATTAGCAGGAGTCGTCTTTTTTATTTCATTTGTAGGTAACAGAAGTATTTTAAGAACTCATCGAAAAATACCAAAAGTTTCTTCAGCCGTTTCAGTCCTGTTGTTGCATCTACTTAGTTCCTGTTTTAATCTCCTCCAAACATTTTTTTTAGTCTAAACATTTTTACATCTAATAAGGCATTTAAATGTTTTTCAAAAACTGTCCATGAACTCATCTATGTTTTTTGTTCTTAAATTAAAGGCAAGAGAAGAGTCTCATGAAGTTTTCCCAGCTCCCGAAGTCAAAACTGAAATAACTGTCATAGTAACTGACGTTAATGATGAAGTGCCAACCTTTCGCAGCGCACGATACGTCGCTGAAATCAACGAAAATGCCCAAGTGAACACTGCTGTTTCTTTCATTGGTCCTGTCATACCACAAGTCTTCGACTATGACCAGGTAAGTTTGCCATTGCAATTATTTTCAATTCCAGTTGACAAATATTACCTTAAGAACAGACTGGTTTTCAAATTCATTGAATTATATTGAATCATCTTGAATAACATTTTTTAAGAATCAATATTTTGAATTGTGAGTTGATGAATAATTTTATTGGAAAATTATTTCAAATGCTTAAATTGTCTGCAAACTGGCCACTCTAGCTTTAGATTTAACGCTATTACTTAAATTAAAAATAATATCTTATGTTCTGGAACCAAACATCTAAAACAGCATTTTAATCCGTCTAATAATTACTATGCAAGTAAATTTTATCAGTTATCATGATCTTAATCCTAACAAAGCAGGGTCTGAATCCAACTTCATGCGCAAACTGAATGTTACTCTAATTTTCTTTAAAAATTGAATTTAAAAACAATTCTCCTTTTGATCATCACCAAGAAGTTTCTGTAACTATAAGGTCACTCAAAGATTTAAAAATTTTACTTTTCCAGGGAAACAACGGAACGTTCATGATGTTCATAGACGGGAACCAAGATACTTTCGAAGTAACTCCACCCAAAGGCATAAATGAAGCATCATTTCTAATACGGGTGAAAAACCCCACAAAATTAGATTATGAAGAAATTAAAGGTTAGTTTTGCCAACTTTATGAGTTTTATTTTGTTGTGTAAAAAAGTAAACCATTTACTTCAATATTTTTAAGAAGACAAACCTTTAATTAATTTCGAAAGATGATGTATTCTTTCTATCTATATCTTAAGCTCTTTTTACTGGAAGGTTCTTGTGTACTTCTGAGTTCAACCCTTGTGAACATTTCATATTCTTGGAATAACCAATATATTATTCAATGCTATTTTACTCATAAACTCTTTGTTTGTTTCAGTTATGAATTTTACTCTAGTCGCAAAAGAAACAGTGCCAAAATTTGCTAAGTTTAGTGTAGTACCTATTACAATTCACATTCGGGACATGAACGATAACTTTCCAGAATTCAGTAAGCCTTTGTATGAGGTAAGTCTTGAAGATTAATTTTCTTTTTTACTTTTATTTTCAAATTTTAGGAAGAAAATTGCTTTAACTTACATCCATTCCTAACCAAAACTCAAGTTTCAACTATTATTCAAATAGATACTGAAGTATCAGTCTCTTAGAGGTATCAACTTGTTTTAGGGTATACTTTAGTTTTCCTTCAAATTTTTATATAAGTTGAATCTCTAATCTAAAATTCAGATTCGGAAGCAATGCATTGCATTTTTTCATTTCAGAAACAATCAGAAAAACAAAAATAAATAAATCAGAATAATGAGCAAGGTCAAATTATTGCATGTACCCAACTTAAAATTAATCTTCTTTGCTATTGTATTCAAAATTTCAAGAAGTCGAACATTTTTATCGGAAAAGAACTACTTTGTGAGCTCTATCACCTAAATGTTGCTGACACGATTTTTCTTGCAGGTTTATGTTCCTGAAAATTCTGCCGCTGGAAGAACTCTAGCATGGATCTCAGCTCACGATGAAGACTCGGGTGAGTTTGGCACCAAAGGCATTCGATATACTTCAATAGGAGGCAGTATTGCAGACACGTAAGTTCCAATGTCACTTGCTTTATTTGTGTGTAAAATGTTTGTTGTAAATGTGTGTCGAATGTTTTACAAAAACAAAATATCCTCATAAAGTAAGAGATTTCACAAAAGTTATTTTATTTGTCCTTTATTTACTCATTTATTCACTTTCTGCATTCAATAGAGCTCCCATTTTCGATGATCAGTCTTTCATAATTAGATAATTAACGATACAACTGAGCTTCAATCCAAAGAGGTGTTTCTACTGTGCTCTATGAATTGAAATGAGTGAATTGCAGAGTGAATCAGTCACAAACTTAGGAAATTTCTTCCAAAAATGGTATTTTCTCTCTAATCAGAAGCGGATCCTGCAATTTGGCAACACTGGATTCCCTCCATTTAAACCTATGCTAAATAATTGATTCTTCTCGGAGCACCTGGCCTCTCCAAGAATGGATACATTTCCGTAGGTTTAAATGGAGAAAACCCGGTGTTGCCAAATTGCTGGATCCGCCAATGTCTCTAATATATTGTAAAAAACAGATTGTATTCAGTTTTCAACCGCAGTAACTTTTTCCTGAAGTGGCTTCCTTTTTTCACAGTTCTTTTCAAGAAAAAACTCTCTTTAGGTACTTAAGTTTTTGACCCAAGACTTATGGTTTCTGATCGTAGATATGGTTTTTTGATCATTCTTGAGACTGTTGATCAGAGTCACAATGACATAATGAAAACTTTACTGTCTCTTTAATGCGTGGATGTAGAATCTAATTTCAAAGTATCTCTCGATGAATTTAATTATTATATTTTCATTTGATTTTATTCGTTCACAGGTTAGCCCTAGACCCTTTGACTGGTGTGATAACAATAAAAACTGCAGGGCCTGCGTTTGACCGGGAGCAGATTGCCAGGCATTATCTGACTGTGGAGGCGAGAGATGATTTAGGAAGGGGAAATAGGTATGCGTACGAACCAGTTACTGTAGTTTGTATTCTCAATTCATAATAAAAATAAAGGAGACTAACCCAAAAATACCGTCATTTTTAAGTTAACGATTGCCCTTTTCTTTGTTAACTTTCTTTGTGTATTGTGCGTTTATAATTTTTTGCATAACGAATTATTAGTTTTGAGTTGCATCTTAATAATGAGCTTTTATCTACAGTATCCTTGCTATGATCAATGTTTTCTCCTTTTTTATTCTTAATTTTTTTTTATTTTTCTAATCTGTTTTTTTCAGTACTCTTTTTAATTATACAACAAATTCTTTTATTCACTGCCAATACTTTTTTCCTGACGGATTTCAACTCATGATGTAAAATGAATAATTGAACAAATATTGCAAATTTTCAAAACGAAGTCATTGATTCAATTTTAAATTTAGATGTGAAGGCTATGAGATCCTTTAACGTTTAAATCAAAAGATTTACATTTTCTGGCTTCTTATTGTGAATATCCCTCAAAGACTTCAATAGAACTGGATCCAAACAATATTCAATGAATGTCACTTGTTGATGAAATTCACAATCAAATATGTTGGCTAACTTATAGACGGATTTGCATACTCTAGTGTCATTGCAAAAATTAAAACAGCAAATTTCTCTGGGACCTTTTAAAAGTTAGTTCACTAATTTGCAACTCTTCTTGTTGCCAATTATTTACTCTCATCCTTTTACAAAAGAAGAAAAAAAAAGGATTTCTTCCTTGAGGAAGAGTTCCTTTTTTTTTTATTCTCTTTCTATTATTCATTCCAAATGTACTCGTAAATTATTCTCATGAACCTCTATTTTTCTCCAGGAACACTGTTCAAATTATAGTCAACGTGAATGATGTAAATGATAATGCTCCAAGATTTTACTACCAGAAATATGAAGCTCGTTTACTTGAAAACCAAGATGATTTTGATGTTCCGCTAAAAATTGAAGCATACGATTTAGATTTGAACGGTAAGCATTGGGGTTTTTTTCACAACTGTTCCTTAATTTGTTCCTTCTGATTGATCAAAGATTATTTTAACTTTGATTTTTAGATATACTGGAAAGGGCATCATAGACTTCATTCACCGTTTATCAGTCTCACCCTAACAGTTTCCTTCATAATTCAAAATTCAAGTAGTCCATCCTTGGTATTTTCAAAACGGTGTTTCTTTGCCACTTACAGTTTTAAAGAAAAAAAAATCTTGAAAAATTCCCGAAAAGAGCTCCATACTTGCAGAAAATATATTTTAAGAAAAATAAGTTGCTCTGACCCATTATCTTGCATGATTTGGCTCAAGTAGATGTTTTTTTTTTTTTTTTTTTTTTTTTTTTTTTTTTTTTTTTTTTTTTTTTTTTTT